GATGAGGGTCAACGATGGTGAGGTGAAAACTTCAGCAACACTTCAAGTACTTGGAACCAACTTTATCAATAGAATCCTGTAACTCTTCTGAGAACAGTACGAACATGTAATCTCTTTATCTTCTTAATGTTGTAAAGAATCCTGTAGCCCGACTCGACACAAACCAAGGGTATAACTTTTGATGCTGACCTCACCAATCGGCCTCCTGTCAGTTATATAGCTAACATTAAGCCTTATGTGCTGTTTTTTAAGGCTCCTCTTGGTTTTGCGGTGTCTTAACTTCAGAAGTTTTATATACTAACAAGTCTAACCTCATGTCAAGTTTTCAAATGCTCTTCAAATTTTCAAGATCTAATCAAGAAGAAGGGTTGATTAAACCACTGCTGTTATGTATGATGGTCTGCTGTTCTACACAAATACATCTCAGATAAAATGGAATCTGCATAACCATGAGGCTTTATGAGGACATTAAAAGCTGTTTTTGAAAATGTCTTTCAGTATTTATTAAACAAGCTTTTTTATAACATTTCTCCACTAAAATTATGCTCTTATTTGTCTAATATTCTAATCTAAGAAATTAACTGTTTTAAGTGTAAAATCCACCCTAATAAAGAAAAACAAAGCCCTGAAAATATCAGTCTATGGAATAAATCTATGATGTATTGGACTTAACGAATTGAGCTACTGAAAAAAACACTATACCTGCGTGGGTTCATGGTTTACCAAAATCATATTCTATTACCCATAGTTCTGTCATACCAACAGTTTTTTCTAAGCGCTACATAAATAAAGTTGACATATATATATATTATGGGATATACCGGTAGGTACGTAAGTAATACATTGTTATAACTGAAGATGCAGGGTAGCTGAAATCTAAGTATCTAGACTGGCATTTAAAATAATTTAATCTGTTTCTACACACAACTTTAAAAAATGTTTGAGAAAGAAATTTCAAAACAGAAAAGTAAAAACTAAGAAATCACATTTATCCAGGTATTCACAACCTTTTCTTCATACTTTTTTTTATCTCCTTTTGGCAGTGATTCAGCCTCAAGATTGTTTAAATTCAATGTCCCAAGCTTAGCACACCTATCCTCAGGCAGTTTGGACAACTCTTCTTGGCAGTGCACATCTAAATGCTTAACTAGAGCAGGGCTATAATTATTTTCCAGATGCAGTGTACTATAAAATTTTTCTATTTTATTTAGGGGGAGTCATAAAAAAATACTTAAGAAAATATATATTAAACTTCTGGTTAAAAATATATATATAATATATATATATAATATATATAATTTTGGGGAATTAGTATGAAGGAATAATTAAAAGAAATACTTTTTAAATGTGATAAAGATTTAACAGCCAAATGACACAATGGGCTCCATTCAGACAGGGAGTATTTTCAAAAATGTACAGTTGGTTTGTGCCTGAAAAACAGAATCATTTAGCCAAGAATGTTTCATTCTTTTAAGCAACTAGTTTCTGGTAAAGAAAGAAGAAGCAAACATCTTTAAGTGAAGGTACTCCAAAAGTTTTTTTTTTTTTGCACAGTTACTCAGGTAATTGTAACTAAAATTCTTCAAAAAATACAGAATCATTATTCTAAGAGTAGGTTCTCATAGACATGACACAAAACTGCAACCAATCCAAGTGGCCAATTTTTTGGCTTCAAGAAACACTAAATAAAATAAAAACATTTTGTTTGACAGTCATCATCAATCTGGCTCATCTCTTTGATTGCTTTTGCCAGATAAGCTTTACAGTTGGAGTCTCATGAACCATTTTTGTTTACTGATTTCTTCACACTTTCATTTCGATTGAGATCCAGACTATCTGCAGACCATGACATGGATCTTACGTACCTTTCAAGAAATGTTTAATTTTTCCTTAAAAAAAAGAAAAAAAAAACATTATCCTGAAAATTATTTAATCATCCACAAACATAATTTTGATTGATGGGATAAGAGGAGTGTCCAAAATGTCAACATAAACCTGCATTTATTGGAGATGTAATGACAGCCATCTGCAGTGTCTTTAGCTGAAATGCAGCCTCATATTATCAATGACTGGAACATACCATAATTGCTTTTCTGTATCTAAATTCAATTTCATTTAAGCAGTTTGTAAGTTTTGTCTGATTTGTTTCTTCATTTTATTTGTGAGTATTTTCAATTTTTGCTTTAAGCTTTCTGTCTGTATGGTTTATATTTTAGGATATCCTCAGTTCTGGTGAAAACTGTTATTTCTCAGGGGGAAAAAAAGAAGGTATCCGTCTTCGGTAAAAACGTTGTCAGCTCAAAGGTATCAAAACGTTTGAGTTCTTTTTTTATTTTGATAATGTTTTGCAAACTGGGCAGATATTTTAGTTTAATAAAGCAACATTCTGGCCTATAAGCACATTCAATGTTTATTTTGGGGCTTAAAAATCGAAATATACTGATTTAATAACTAGAATTATAGTAAATGCTGTCCAAGCTGACCCGCAATGACTCATGGGAAATGGAGGATCCCGCAGTTTCCTCGGCGCTACCGCACAAATGCAAGCAGGCTGCACCGCAGGATCGGGAGTTCTCATGAATTTCAACGGACCCCCGATCCCGTGAGAACTGACAACAGTTTTCCTGAGAACTGAGGCCGTCCTAAAATGCACACCTTTCCTGAGAAAGTAGGCCTTTCCAGAATGTAGGTAACGCCTTTCCTCGGAATGTCCTAAAACGCACACCGTAGTCTTAACGCTCGGACTCTTCCTTGGTTTGGCAGCATGCCAGCCTCTAACAACCGTCCCATTTTATTTGAGCATTGTCTAGATTTACGACACAATGAGCTGGAAACAACCGAAATCTTTAACAACGTTTTGTGGTGATTTATTTTCCTTAAAAGAGTTAAATGGTTGATAAGCCTCAGGTTGGTGCTATGGTTCGTTTCCCTCCACTTGGTGAAACAGCTCTCATTTTAGACTGCAGACTCTATGATGGTTTTGGGGGAATAAAAAATTCCGATCTTTCCCCCCCCCCCCCTCACTTTGACTGTTATTGTGTGTCGGGTATATTATTATTTCCCCGAGAAAAAGAAACAAACAGTTACTACCCATCTCTGATATGTTTGTCATTATTTTAATTGATATACCACAATTTTTATATACATTTTTAAACATACCAAAGTAGCACCAACGATGCTGTCCTAAGTATCTGAATGTTAAATGTTTTTTTGCGGTGAATATATTATACATATGTTGCAATACATTCAATGAACAGCAGATGGCGCCATTCTACAACAAAAATCCAGGAATAAGCTGCTTGTTCAGCTCTTAGTCTTAAATCCTCCATTTAGGAATTTTCTTTTCTTTTTCTCTACTACTTGACTATTAAAAGCTTGCATCCATTTTACCAGCAACAATAAGAATATGAAATGCCACCAAGTTTGTAATAGAGGCGATTATGCTGGAATAAAAGGTTACAATTTAATAAAGCAACAGACTCCCACTTCAATGTCAGTTTGAAAAGTTTTGACAAACAGAAAAAGGTTTAATTTAATCGCTAAACTAGCGCTGCTAAAAAGATATTTAAGTGAGTCTTGGAAATACAGCTGGGGGCCTCACCCTGTTTTTTTTGTACCGCTTGCTCCGTTTGACAGATTTCAAAAACTTCGAGGTGGGCCTTGCTCATATAAAGTGGCCTAGAGCACATTCCTTTAGGAACACTCATGTTTTTATCTTTCTGTGAGCAAACAGGATGAAGCACAAATGTAGCCTTTACTTTATACTTAAATGTCATATAAATGTGTGTTGTAATTTTACAAAATTATACTAAGATTAAGTAGCAACATTGGGGCCTTCTTAAGACTTGCTTGGGAAGTGTTGAATTTACCCATGACTAGTATTTTTAATTCCCCATTATATTTATACATTTTTTTTTTATGAATATGGGCAGAAAAAAGTTGCACAGCTTCTTTTAGTGATCAGATTGACTACAGATAAAAAGCTTGACAGGTTGGGAATCTTTGAGTTTCTTCACATTGTGGTCAGGCATAAAAAGTGGAACTCAAACAAAGAGCGGGAATGAGGATGGAAGGGCGACTGAAGGAAAAGGATGGAAAAATAAAAAGTAGCAGACAAAAGAAAAAAAAACACTTTACAAAAGGGAGTAATCAGAAAAGGGAAGAATGGATGGTCTGATGGACAAGTGATGGGGTATCAATAATTTGATATTCAGCATTGGATGGATTGGAAGATGGATGGCAAATGGACAAAGGGAGGGTAAAGAGACTAAAAATTATTGTAGATGCTAAGATGGGCAATAAAACCTGGATATGCATTATCACTTAATTTAGATCAAAATATTCTGGTTGATATCTAACTCAATGTTCAGCTTATATCCGTATAGAGCGAGCTAATGAAGTGCACAAACAGCACCTGTGTAACCCATTGGTGGTCTGAGGAAAAGAGGACGGATGGTGTCTCTTCACCTGGTTTTTTATATGAAAACTTACCCTTTAACAAAATAAACTATATGTATGTGAAGATGTCCGTCTTTACTGAAGTTTCATGGAACAAAAGAAAAGGGTTACTTCAATGACAGGAAAGCACCACCTCCTAATGTGAGTCACTAAGGCATTAGTGAGTTAAATAGCACACACACGGTGAGCTGTGTGATGGATAGTGAGTGTGCAACAGGAGGCAGCAGGCGTGGTTCCTTTTTTAGTGAAGTAGTGATCGGCCATATAAGCAGGTAAACTCAAACATCCAAGAGGAGAGATGATTTAAAGCCACTCAAGCCAAAAGAAACACACTTAGACATCAGGCCAGGGCAGTTTTTCCATGACGTTTCACAAACTGAACTTTATTGACAGAATCTGAACTGCATGAAGAACAAAAAGTCCTCTGTGCGTGACCTCCTGTTATCCAAAGCCGCTATTTAACCTGACATCTCAGCTGGTGCAGCAGTTAATGCCTTCTTCAATCAGCGACCATGCAGGAACAAACCAAACACACTCCCAGAGAGAATGAGCAAAGTATGTTATATTTAATTTATTAATGAACACAAATCTCATTACACTCGCATGAACAACAGCAACAGGTTAGCAAAGTGGAGTTTATGTTAAACACATTAATGTGAGGTGGTTAAGTTTCTCATTCACTTGTTAAACAAGTCAAATAAAAAGGGAGCAAAAAATGACATGCAGAAGTTAAACATACAGCATCTTATTTTTTCTGCCACAACACCAAAGACAATATACACCCTGCCTGAAGGAATAAAATATACAGCACACAGCCAACTTTGTGTTTATGGCAGAAAAGTACAACTCAATAAATTCAGAAAATATTAATAAGAAAAAAACAAAATAACAATCCCAGCAAGCTGGTCCCCCTAAGTAATGGAATACATACAAATATACAAATACTGAAAACATCTCTCTTCTCTCTTGCAGCTAAGCTAACGAGAAAATTCTTTGGAAATGAGATGCAGGAGTAAGAGAGAGAGAGAGAGAAAGGAGACTTTTTTTTTCTCTTCCAGATGAGACAATTGCATGTAGGTAAAATTTGGGGGTGAGATTTACTTGTTATCCAGCCTTAAGAGCTGCTCCTTACCATTAACTGTAAGGGATTTTAACTGACCATCTTCCACCACTTCTACCCGCTCCTGGCCGTTCTCCACAATCCTGTAACAAACAGACAGAGCAGTCTTTTTAGAAAGCACGGCGCAAGAATTATTACTTATAAAATGCCCCGTAAAAGTATTCACACCATGTCAACTTCACATTTTAATCACACATCTACAAACTTATATTTCACAAGTTTATTTGATAGACCAACATAAAGTAGATCAGGTTGTCGTATTCAAAAACAGGAGTATGGTAATATTTATACTAGGTCTCTCAATAAACAGCAGATATAAGTGCAAGGATGATACTGTGGGTTACACCAACATTGTATATGTAGAGATTGAAACTCTTAAACTTTGGTAGCCAAGTAGCTCAATTTTAGGCTTGAATTTAGGCTTGGCAGTTTAACTCTGTGGCCCTTCCATTGTAGCCTTTATTGTACTTTGGGGTCATCCTGTAGCTGGAGGCTGAACTCTCTCTTAATCCCTAATCTTTTGAAGGTTTTCCTCTAGGATTGCCCTGTAATCCACTCCCTCAATCTTCCCACCAACTCTGAACAAGTTCCCTATCCCTGCTGAAAAAGCGCATCCCCTAAGCGTCACCTTCATGTTTTAAACCTAAACCGTGGATCTCCTCTCCTCCATAGTCACAATGTTCATCATGGCTACTTCTCTTAATAACAGTCCTTTCCTACCTGGCCAGTTTACACAAACTACTATATCATCCTCAGTTTACAGCTGCACTAAACTTTTGTTTAGGCTTTGTAAGATATTCAAAGTTTAAGATTTTATAGCCTAACACTGCTTTTAACTTCTTCCTGCCTGCCGTTTTTCCTGATCATCATAAAGCTGCTTGACTGATGTTTGCCATCAAGGCTCTAAGTCTTTTACAGATAGAACAACTGAAACTACATCTGGGAAGGGAAAAAAACAAAATAAAAACAGTCCCTTTGCCTCTTTTTTGCAATTACAGGTGCTGGTCATAAAATTAGAATATCATGAAAAAGTAGATTGATTTCAGTAATTCCATTTAAAAAGTGAAACTTGTATATTATATTCATACATTACATATATTCATATATTCATATATTTCAGATGTTTATTTTGTTTAATTTTGATGATTACAAATGACAACAAATGAAAATCTCAAATTCATCATATCAGAAAATTAGAATATTGTGAAAAGGTTCAAAATTTATGGCCCCTGGTGCCACACTCTAATCAGCTAATTAACTCAAACCACCTGCAAAAGCCTTTAAATGGTCTTTCAGTCTAGTTCTATAGGCTACACAATCATGGGGAAGACTGCTGACTTGACAGTTGTCCAAAAGACGACCATCGACACCTTGCACAAGGAGGGCAAGACACAAAAGGTCATCGCTAAAGAGGCTGGCTGTTCACAGAGCTCAGTGTCCAAGCACATTAATAGAGAGGCGAAGGGAAGGAAAAGATGTGGTCGAAAAAAGTGTACAAGCAAGAGAGATAACCGCACCCTGGAGAGGATTGTGAAACAAAACCCATTCAAAAATGTGGGGGAGATTCACAAAGAGTGGACTGCAGCTGGAGTGAGTGCTTCAAGAACCACCACACACAGACGTATGAAAGACATGGGTTTCTGCTGTCGCATTCCTTGTGTCAAGCCACTCTTGAACCACAGACAGCGTCAGAAGCGTCTAAAGAGAAACAGGACTGGACTGCTGGTGAGTGGTCCAAAGTCATGTTCTCTGATGAAAGTAAATTTTGCATTTCCTTTGGAAATCAAGGTCCCAGAGTCTGGAGGAAAAGAAGAGAGGCACTTCATCCACGTTGCTTGAAGTCCAGTGTAAAGTTTCCACAGTCAGTGATGGTTTGGGGTGCCATGTCATCTGCTGGTGTTGGTCCATTGTGTTTTCTGAGGTCCAGGGTCAACGCAGCCACATACCAGGAAGTTTTAGAGCACTTCATGCTTCCTGCAGCTGACCAACTTTTTGGAGATGCAGATTTCATTTTCCAACAGGACTTGGCACCTGCACACAGTGCCAAAGCTACCAGTACCTGGTTGAAGGACCATGGTATCCCTGTTCTTAATTGGCCAGCAAACTCTCCTGACCTTAACCCCATAGAAAATCTATGGGGTATTGTGAAGAAGAAGATGCAATACACCAGACCCAACAATTCAAAAGAGCTAAAAGCCACTATTAGAGCAACCTGGGCTATCATAACACCTGAGCAGTGCCACAGACTGATCGACTCCATGCCACGCCGCATTGCTGCAGTAATACAGGCCAAAGGAGGCCCAACTAAATACTGAGTGCTGTACATGCTCATAGTTTTCATGTTCATACTATTCAGTTGGCCAACATTTCTATAAATCCTTTGTTTTTATTGGTCTTCAGTAATATTCTAATTTTCTGATATGATGAATTTGAGATTTTCATTTGTTGTCATTTGTAATCATCAAAATTAAACAAAATAAACATCTGAAATATATGAGTTTGTATGTAATGTATGAATATAATATACAAGTTTCACTTTTTAAATGGAATTACTGAAATCAATCTACTTTTTCATGATATTCTAATTTTATGACCAGCACCTGTATAGGCTATATAAAACTACCTCAAGGCACTACACCATGAGTTAATCTCTGTCATACCTTTTTGTGGTGATTTTCCTGCCATTGACGATCTTGGTAGAAGTTGACACAGATCTGAAGTTGCCCATCCCTCCACCGCCGCCTCCAAATGAAGAGGAAGAAAAGGAGGTAAATCCTCCTCCTCCTCCTCCTCCTCCCATGTCACCAAAGGAGCTAAAACCTAAAAATAGAATATCTCAGTCAAAAAAACAAAGTCTTAATCCTTTTATTGCTATTATTTACTACAATATACAGTTGACTGCAGAAACGTTAGGAGTCTGCACACCTGTATCAAACCCTGAGAAACCAGGTCCAAAAGCTGGAAAGCCACCAAAGCCAAAGAGTGGACCGCCCATCCGGCTCCTGTGTGCACCTCTTTGACGACCGCGCCCGCCAAAGAAATCATCAAAGGGATCATCACCTGCGAACGGACACAGAGTCAAGTGAGATTTTGGTTTTCTCCCGTTTGCTTTAAGTTCTTCACCTTTGTACTTTCTTTACACTGGTATAATACGGAAAATATTTCTACACTATAATGCTAAAATTTTCAGTTCTTTTTACATTTAGGCTCAATTTTTTGAGATTCTCCAGTGGTCAAATAGATGGATGACAAAACAGAGGCAAAAATTAATGCATGAAAAGGATGGAGCAATAGACTGATAGGAAAGTTGGATGGAAGGAGGATAGAGAGATGATTGACAAGCTGACAGATGATTATATTACAGACAGAAGAAACAAGAATAGGTGGAAAGTGAGCTTATCATATTCAAGTTCCATCCAAACTATTTTTTAGCTTTTTTTTTTGTTTTTGTTTTTTAAATAGTTAATTATTCCAAAAGCTGTCATGAATGGCAGAGCATTTATCAGTAATTTCTGGAAATGTGTTATCCGTTTAAAAACTGTCAAGTGACGCAGACCCATTTCTATCCCAAAGCCCAGAGGAGCTTCTGCTAATTGTGTGCTGCCGATCTGGGTCACCCTGGCAGGATAAGGCTGGAATCACTGGCACTAAAAGAAGACTCCTCCCTCAACCTTGAGCACACCAAGGCTGCATTAAAAATAGGTTTGCTTGTTCCCCCTGACAGAAAGGCTTAAAATAAAAAATAAAAATCTGCTGTGTTTCTGTGTACCAAGACGTGGATCTAAGAGCTGAACAGAGATGAGCTTTAGCAGGGAAGTTACGCATCAGTGGAAAATAAAGAGAGGAATGTAAACTCTGAGGAATGTTGTTTAACTACTGAAGTGTGATTCAGAATTTTGAAATCCAAGTAAAGAGTGATTACTTTGCTCCAGTGGCGGCCGGCCCATAGGGGGCGCTGGGGCACCGCCCTCCCTGATAAGAAGAGAGAAACGTAAAATATATTTTTAGAAATTAACTCATAAATGTCAGTTTTACTCTCTAGACTGTGTACCTATAAGCAAAACAAATTATATAAACTACATTTCCCTATCTACTGTCATTAATTTGTGGATTTCCACAGACAGACTCCTACCGTCTCTGTTCTGGGGGCGCTGATCAGACTGACCCACATTTGCAGAGAATCTGTCAATCATGTACTATTGCTAGGTGAATTTAATGGCCAATCAGCGTCTCAGAACTTTATGGTCTTGGGGCGCTGAAAATACTGCGCTTTAACAGGCTTCTGAACCCAAGCGCAGGTGCAGACAGTAATGGGCCTTTCAGATAGGAAGCGATTTGCGCTGCGCTGGCCGCGGGGTTCAGCGCATTTGCGCTGCGCTGCGCCGGCTGGGTTGCCGGGTCTAGTCATTTGTTTGTTGTTCCAGCTTTTGGTCAGCAGCAAATATGTATCTGACCCGTGCTAAGAAGCAAGCGCTAGCACTAGCCCTGCTAGTTCGAAGAAAAAGAGCAGCAAGAAAGAAGAGGCTGTGGGTGCACGAAACACAAAGGTCCAGAGAGCAGCTTGGGGAGTTCCCGCTTGTGAAAGAAATTGCAAACTTGTGTCATATAGTTCGGGGAATTCAGACACACACAGTATAAGCTTTTCCTCCATTTTGCTTCCTGGTCTTTCCAGCCGATGGTTTCTATTGGCCACGCGTGCATTCGTCACGGCGCGCCGCGGTCAAAGTTTGACCTGGCCTGCGCGCGAGCTCGCGAAGCGCTGCGCTTGCGCTTTGCTCAACGCAGCAGTGCGGTCGTCGCAGCCTGTCTGAAAGGCCCATTAGAGGGAAGATGGCGAATGTAACGACCGAGATGCAGCTTCCACCAAATTCGGTGAGATCCTTATTTATCTACACGTTTGCCAGAAGAACATCCCTGTTGTAGGATATGAACATTTCCTGTCATGGTTATTGTGACTGTGACGAATCCACCTCGTCGCTTAAAACAACCTCTCTAACTTTCCGCGCCACACACACATTCCTGTTATACTGTGTTTGTGAGGACCAATACACTCGCGCTGAGACCAGTAGCTCCATGAACTTAAAACACACAAGCTGTTCCTGGTTACCTGCTGGCATATTGAGGGTGCACACTTAATATTTCAGTGGGGTTAGCCGTGTGTGTATGTGTGTGTGTGAGGGTGTGTGGGGGGTGTGTGTGTGTACGTGTTTATGCTACGGGGACTTGTCATCTTCAGTCTGGCTGCGTCTTTGCTGGGTTCAAACCCAGTTTAGTGTAATTGAATAAGTCAATGAATCTGTGTAAAAGAATTAAGTTGTAAAAATTTTTTGTTTTTGTACATCAATTGTTTGTGGAGGTAATATATGGACAAAACTGATTAATGAGAAGAAATCAGAAATAAGAGAGCCTGATGTGAGGGGCTTAAACTATTTAATGAGGGCTGTGGGAAGAAAAGCGGCAATTTTTGTTTTCTGTTTCTTTGTTACATTGCTGGTAACTGGAGGGAGGCTGAGGCCCAGAGTATCTTGTACATGTTTAGTTTCTTTTGCACCCTGTTTTGAGTTTTTGAGCTCAATAAATCACCAACACCGGTAACCCGACTGAGACTGGATTCTTGGAGGCCAAAGAACCCCGTCACAGTGACCCAAATCATCACTGTTACTGTTATTATATAGTAAATTAAATCATTACTGTTAAATTGTATGTATTGTCCAATTGTTTATTTGAATTCTTATTCCGGATTAGTTGGAGACATACACTAGGCTATATCAGCCCCACCAAAAATATTTTTCACCAGCCGCCACTGCTTTGCTCCATTGGCCTGTACAGCACAGGCAGCAAGCTACAGCTGCCAATAACATCAGTGGTGGAAGAGTACAAGGCGACAAAAACACGCCAGGCCATGATGCTGCGAGACAGTAAAGACGTGAGAGTACGTCAGGCAGACATCGTCATCTGGACAGGCCGAAAGTGGTCAGCCAGCAGAGCATTGAAGGAGGCCGAGGACAGACTGAATCACGCAGACATTGTCGGGTCGGTAGCCCAGGGAAGGCTGGGTTTAGGTTGCTTCACCAGAACAAGCTGGAACAAAGCGGACCCAAGGGAGAGGCGAGGCTTGGTGCAGAAAGAGGTCAGAAGGGTGGAGGAGGAAAGCCGGCATGTCAAGGCTGTAGCCATGAACAAACAAGGCAGCTGGACTAGATGGGAGAGTGCGAGAGAGAGGGCTCTTACTTGGCAGGACATCTGGAGCATGGAAGGCCACCGCATCAAGTTCCTTTTATGCTCTGTTTATGACGTCCTACCTACTCCCTCAAACCTCCACACCTGGGGAATGGTCGAGAGCCCAAGCTGCAAGCTCTGTGGAAGGACAGCCAACCTTGAGCACGTCCTCTCTTCATGTCACTCAAGCTTAGCAGATGGCAAGTTCCGGTGGCGTCATGACCAGATCCTTGCTCAATTGGCCGACGGCATCGAGCAGGCAAGGAAAAGGGCAAGACAGCTATCCAAAGGGCCTTGTTTCATACATTTTACCAGGGCAGGAGAAAGTGGAGTAGTGGGAGGGAAGAGCAAGGGGGTCCTGGCCACGGCAAATGACTGGGAGATGCGGGCAGACCTAAAAAAGCAGCTCAAATTCCCTGAGGAGATAGCCCACACTAGCCTGAGACCAGACATTGTTCTATGGTCTAAAGGTACCAAGCAGGTGGTGCTCATCGAGCTGACTATCCCCTGGGAAGAGAGGATGGAGGAGGCCTATGAGCGTACGCTCAATAAATACCAAGCCCTCATCCTAGAGAGCCAGCAAAATGGATGGAAGACCTGGAATCTCCCAGTGGAGGTGGGCTGCAGAGGCTTTGCTGGACGGTCGCTCTGGAGAGCCCTTGGACTGCTGGGGATTGAAGGGCTGGCCAGGAAGCGGCTTGTAGCCAACGTCACCAAGCGGGTGGAGGAGGCATCTCGCTGGATTTGGATGCAGCGCGAGGTGCGCTGGCAGAACCGAAGCACTGAGCGAACGAAGAACTGGATGAGGAGTTGGGTGGCGTTCGGTAGGGGTGGGTCCAGGACGCTGGATTTGCCGTTGAGCCCCTCCGAGGTGTCATGGGCTTAAATCAACGAAACACCAGTGAAGGGGGGTGCCCATTTGACAACCTTCTGAGCCTACCCAACTCCGATTCCAGTCACAGAGACCTAGTGGTGCCTTGAGGGAAGGAAAGAGAGAGAGAGAGCAATGCCACTGGCCCACAGATGGTGCAGGGGCAAGTACCTGTAAAATTGGACCAGTTGCGATATCCCTTATCGTATTTTGCATATTCCTTTCTGGCAGACCCAGTGACCACTTGGAAAGACAAGTTGGCAACCGAGGAAGAACGGTGACAGCGAGGAAAGACTGCTAACATCTGGGAAAGACCAGAGCTGGGGTGTGGCGGCTTGGCAGGCCAACCACACTCTCCGTGAGGAGAAAACCCAAACAACCGCTATGGAAAGGTATATTACAAGATACCCCCGGGGCCGAGCGAGAGCGGGGGAGGATGATCGACCCACAGGACAGAACAACGTTATGACCACCATTAACGGACAAACGACTACGGAACAGCCAAGCGATTTATCCCGGGTCTGTAGATGTGGGAAGAAATGCAAAAATGAGAAAGGGCTGAAGATACATCAGACAAAGATGAAGTGCTTACAACCTGAAAGTAATGTGCAACGCACAGGGAAACCTGGTGATACGGAGGAGAGGCCGGGGCAGGACACAAACCACAGTCTCCAGAATCTCCAGGCACATGACGAGGAGGGAAGCAGGAGCAGCATCGCTGATGTGACGGAGGCAGCAAGGCAACAGAGTGAGAGTGAAGTGACTCAGTATAACAGGCAGCTTGCGCAGATCACTTGTGAAGGAGACGTCCGGAAACAACGTGTGAACTGGCCAAATGCAGCTGCAACAAAAGAATGGGAGATGTTTGATCGCGACGTGGACCAGGTGCTGGAAGCAGCCACTGCAGGAGATGTGGGGAAGAAGCTCAAGGCCATGTCCTCTATAATCTGGAGCATGGGTGCTGAGAGCT